ATAGAGAGAGAGAGAGAGAGAGAGAGAGAGAGAGAGAGAGAGAGAGAGACAGAGAGAAGGTGCGGGGGGATCTTAATTTTGCTAAGAATAATATTAAAAACGGAGGGGCGATACTATTGATTGGGAAACTAAAACGTTGGCCAAATCGTGGAGACAAATTAAATATGTAAATGCAATCAAGTGCAAGAGAGTAACAAACACAAAAAAAGGAGGAGGAGAGATCAGGACGATAGATTTTCCTAATGAGAAAGAAGGAGCAAACCACACCAGAGCGTTTCATGTGCCCTAGCAGGGGATCAGATGCAACCCCACCCCCACCGCCCCTTTCCAAATTACCTACACAGCATTTTGAAAGGCGTTAACCTTTAATAGAAATACCAACATAAACAGTTCTGTCCTGCTTTTTGTTTTCTGATCGAAACATGCGTTAAAGAAAAGTGAAGAACACATGCGCATACTGTTATCAGTCTCACTTTCAGATTTTTATACCTCATCTTGAAGGCGTGGCGTTGTCGCCATCTCGCCCAACTGCTCTTTGTTTACACCAGGCACTCCTTCCTCATGAGGATCAGCCCTGTTGCTGAGCCAGTAGACCTATAGGGGCTGAGTAATTCTCTCGTATTAAGGTTAGAAGAGTGTATATAAAGCACTTGATACCTCAATCTTTTCACTTGCAACTTGCAGTCAAGAGCGCTACAACCCGTGACGTCACCACCACGGTACACCGGATAAAAGTACAGAAAAGTTCTCATCGTCGTTCTCTGACAGACTGTTTCCCACCATGGCATCTCTACTGAAGACTATGTCCATTCTGGCCGTGATGCTTTGCATCACTGTAGGCTTCTCTGAAGCTTTCCCACGACCCCTCAATGCCACCACGGGTAAGTAGACTACTTTATCCTATCATCATAATATCTTTATGAGTCTTTCTCACCTCGCACCGTAGTATAACTAGCCCAGGATAGGGGAAGATGGAAATCGTTCGCGGGATATTCATGTACCCTGATCCAGGGTTGAAACATTGAAAGCAATGATGGTGATGACTGGAGTATAAACCACACACAAGAGCTCTCCATGTAGCCTATTTCTGTCCTGGATTATTTTTTTCCCCTCTGCCCAGCTGTATCATGTCTCCTTTATGTCTAATGCTAAGGCCCTCGTCCAAGTATCTTAGACCTTCCTTTCTTTCTTTTTCCTTTAGAATTCAATCTTAAGGCTTGGTGGGTAATGCTGTTTTCGGTTTTCTTAGGTTGTGACCTATCCACGTCCATTTTCTCTTTTGATTTCTATATGAATATTAATATTCCCTCGACTTTTTATCCTTTGCTAGTGCCTATTTTGTTCTGGTCTTCCTTGAATCTTGTCGATTTTACCTATAAATTATTTGAGGATGTAAAGCAAACTGCAGTAAATAACTATGAGTGGTGTTACAAAGCGGTCAAGTATCTTTCATGTACTTATCAATGGCCTTAAAAAAGCCAAGACAAGTCTTCGAATCATTTTCCCCACGTAATATAAAGAACATTTTTTTCGGAGAGGCAAGTCATATGAGGCTTAAAGAAAAAGAAATGCTGAAACCATTAGAGAAGCACACAAGCTGAGCACATTCACAAGTGGTAGTGAAGCATTAAATGCTAAAAATGTGACAGTTGTCGCTACCAGAATTTGTCTCCTTGGCCACAGAAGAGTCCGTAAGTCATTTTGACCTTAAATGCGTCCATTAAACTTAGAAGATATTCTCCTTTGCGGAAGCATTGGCTATCGTTAGAGAATGTAAGACGAAATACATCGTGTATCATAATTATTAGAGATAGATAGATAGATAGATAGATAGATAGATAGATAGATAGATAGATAGATAGATAGATAGATAGATAGATAGAAGATGACGTTCGTTCATTGTTCAAATTTCATTATTTCACAGGTGGAAACTTCACAAGCGGAAACTTTTCCGTCTTCGCTGGTAACTTTTCAAGTGGAAACTTCACAGGTGGAAACTCCACAAGTGGAAACTCCTCAAGAGGAAACTCTTCTATCTTTGCTGGAAATTTCACAGGTGGAAACTTCTCTAGTGGAAACTCTTCTCTCTTTGCTGGAAACTTCACAGGTGGAAACTCCTCAAGTGGAAACTCTTCTGTCTTTGCTGGAAACTTCACAGGTGGAAACTCTTCAAGTGGAAACTTCTCTGTCTTTGGTGGCAACGTCACAGGTGGAAACTCTTCAACTGGAAACTTTTCTGTCTTTGCTGGAAACTTCACAGGTGGAAATTTGACGGGTGGAAACTTCAC